CAGACACTGTGCTAGAAGCAACCGACATTTTAAAACTTGGGTTCTATCCAATAGCAGCTCACAGTCTGGTGGGTAGGAAACATACATCAAGTGCAATATGCTGTGAAAAAATATAGGTAGAGATAAGCCTCGGGCTTTCAGGAAGGAGAAAGGAAACCAGGAATGTCAAGGAAGACTTCCTGGAGGAGGTGATGCCTGAGTGAGCTCTTGAAGGGTGACTAAGAATTATCCAGGCAAGAGAAGGGTGAGGGGCATTATTCCAGGCAAAGAGAGCAGCATGAATAAAGTCAGAGGCATGAAATAGACAGCATGTGCATGGAACATTAAGTGTTTCCAACTGAGCCCAAACTGTGTGGCAGGAAATGACATTGAAGAGAGAGGTAGAGCCAGGAAAAGGGAGGCTTTAAATAAATGCCATGCTAAGTGTCTTGGAGTTTATCCAGCAGGGGATGAGGGGCATTGATTTTTCTCCGCAAAGAGAGGGAGTGATATGGTCAGTGTGGAGAATAGATTTGAAAGGATAAGAATTAAAATAGGAAGTTGGATGGTTGATGCTGTGGTTTATGTGGGAGATAATGAGGCCTTAATCAGGGAGGTGGTAGGGATAGAGAAGGCCAGATTTATCTGAGAAGCGTTTTTTTCAAGGTCAAGTCAACAGACGTCAATGACTGATTGGGTTGAGAGAGATGAGAATGGGACAGTGACATATATGTGAATTTCTAGCTTAAGAAACTGGGTGGATGGTGGGAACATTCATTAAAATTGTGAATCAGGAGTGGGAGCAGATTTCAGGGTAGGAGTGAGGAAGATGAGTTCATTTGACACTTGGGACATATCTAGATGTCTAGCAGTTGGATTATGAATCAGAAACTCAGAAGGGAGATAAACACAAGTGATAAAGATTTAAGTACAGAAGGCTGAAAACAGTTTCTTCTGTAGTCATATCTATCCTGCAGATGTGTTTTGTTTGGGCCTCTGTGATATTGTTTTTAAATTAGAATTAGGTGGAAAACATGGAAAAATCAGGAAGTTGCACCAAAAAATTCTGTATTTCCAGTATCTCTTGAAACTTCTGCTAATTTGCATTTCCATCCTCCCATGGCAATGGCTAGCAGTGGGAGGCAGCTCTGCTCCGTGAGCAGGGCACATGCTCTCCAGGGAATGGCAGTCCCCATCTGGCCAGACCCCTGGCCCTGAGCCTCGGCACTGGTTGCCATAACACTTGCTCTGTTGCATTTCTTACAGTAGAATTAAGAGAAAATAAACTTTTCTTGTTCCCTTATCTCAATCAAAATCAGAAAATGAAATCTAGTGTGAAGGATTGTGTGTTTCAAGGAAAATGATCTGCTCATGAGAAACGGAAGGAGTTCCTATATATTTGATATGCAAACAAAGCATATCCTTGTTGAAAGAATTAAGCTGGTGACACCACTGTGAAATAAACCATACTAAGAGCAATTTCTGCTATGTTTCAGAGATGTATGATGACTTTCCATTTGTTTGGATCTTCTTTAATTTCTTTCATTAATGGTTTATGGTTTTCAGTGTACAAATCTTTAATATTGTTAAAATGTCCATACTGCCTAAAGCAATCTACAGATTCAAAACAATTCCTATAAAAATCCGATTTTTACAGAAATAGAAAACAATTCCAAAATTCATGTGAAACTACAAAAGACTTTAAATAGCCAAAACAATCTTGAGAGGAAAGAAAAGAACAAAGCTAGAGGCATCACACTTGCTGATTTCAGTGGAATAAAAATATATTACAAAGCTAGAGTAATTAAAACAGTGTGGTACTGGCGTAAAGACAGACATATACACCAATGGAACAGAACAGAGAGCCCAGAAATAAATCCCCACACATATGGTCAACTGACCTTCAACAAGGGAGCCAAGAGTATACAATGGGAAAAGGATAGTTTCTTCAAACACTGTTGGGAAAACTGAATGTCCATGTGCAAAAGAATGAGATTGGACCCTTATCTTACACCATACACAAAAAACAACAACTCAAAATGGATTAAAGACTTAAATGTAAGGCCAGAAGCTGCAAAGCTCTGAGAAGAAAATATAGAGAAAAATCTTCATGACATTGGTGTTGGCAATAATTTCATGGATATGACACCAAAAGCATAGGCAACAAAAGCAAAAATAAGCAAGTGAGATGACATCAAACTAAAAAGCTTCTGCACAGCAAAGGAAACAACCAATATAGTAAAAAGGGAGCCCACAGAATGAGAGAAAATATTTGCAAATCATATATCTGATAAGGAGTTAATTTCCCAAACATATAAGGAACTCCTACAACTCAATAAGAAAAACACTGAAAGCCCAATTCAAAATGGGAAAGGACTTGAATAAACATTTCCATGAAGAAGACATACAAATAGCCAACAGGTATGTGAAAAGATGTTCAGTGTCACTAATCATCAGGGAAATACAAATCAAAACCATACTCAGATATCACCTAACACCTGTTAGGATGGCTATCAAAAAACAAAGACAACATGTGCTGGTGAGGATGTGGAGAAATTGGAACCCTTTTACACTATTGGTAGGAATGTGAAATGGTACAGCCACTATGGAAAGCAATGTAGAGGTTCCTCAGAAAGTTAAAAATAGAACTACCATATGATCCACCAGTCCCACTTCTGGGTATTTATCCAAAAGAATTGCAATTAAGACCTTAAAGAGATATTAGCACTCTCATGTTCATTGCTGCACTATTCATGATAGCTAAGAAATGGAGACAACGTAAATGCCTATCAACATATAAATGGATAAACAAAAATGTGGTATATATACACAACAGAATATTATTCAGCCTTAAAAAAGAAAACTGTCTTGTAAGATGCCACAACATGGATGAACCTTGAGGACATTAGACTAAGTGAAGTAAGCCAGCCATGGACAACAAATATTGTGTGATTCCACTTATATGAGGTATATAAAATACTCAGACACACAGAAGCAAAGAACAGAATGATGGTTGCAAAGGCTGGGGGTTGCGGCGAGGAGATGGCTAATCAACAGGTATAAAATTTCAGGTATGTAAAATGAGTAAGTTCCAGAGATCTGATGGATAACATTGTGACTGTTCTTAACAATACTTAAAAATCTGTTAAAAGGGTAGATCTCATGTTAAGTGTCCTTATCACATTAAAATAAAAATTTTTAAGAAAACTAAAAGAAGGATGCATGATGAAAAAACCAATAAGCTGAAAAAAAGAATTGAAATTTCCATGGTTTATTTTGGAATTTGAATGAAATAATGATATACCATTGCCTCCGTCCCAGAAATGCATGGCCTGGCCCTAAAGGTATTGGAATTTGCAGCCTCTGCTTTAGTCACTGGCTTATTGCAAGGACAGTGAGAATGGAACTAGGAGGACTGGATGAGTTCATCCAGAGCTGTGTCTAGAGAGAGAAGAAAAATAGGCCAAGGGCAGAATCTTAGGGGAGCCCTTGAAAGGGGTTCCCAAAAGAGTCTGAGAAGGATGAGAGAGGTTCAAGGAGAACCTGAGAAGTGTGGTGGCATCTCAGCCAGGGGAGCAGAAACACAGGAAGGAAGGAGAGATCAATACCATCAAATGGTTGTTCTGCACTCTATGTCTCCCACCCCGAAGGGAGGCCAGTCTAGCTACAGGAAAGCTTAGACCCAAGATATTCCCAATTACCTTGGTCAACAGTGCCCTTAAATCTAAGTCACCTTTTCGCAGTGCTCCAAAGCCAAGAGAAATACCAAACAGGTCTCTGAAATAAGTCTCTAGTTCAAACATCTTAATAAGTATTTATATCCTTATAGCATAGTAACCATTTGAAAAAATACTACACCTAAACTGAAAGAAATTTCCATTTCTTTTTTATTTCATTCTTAAAGAAACAATTACGTATGGGCTGTGTGCACGTCTTGGGCAGTTCACAACTTCTCCAACCTTCTCAAACTGACACCCTTATTACCTGTCCTACATTGATTTTTACAAAGAGCTTGCTTTTATCACAGCAACCACAGAAAACCCAGCATCGAAAGAGATGTCACTTAGAAACGTAGCTCAGCCTGGTGTGAAATTGTGCACAACCTCTAGCCAGTTGTCACGGTGTCTGATAGAGGTTGACACACCCCATGGGGCCCCTGTGGGTTTGCTGCAGTTCCTTGGGTGTAACCTTGGCCCATAGTTTGGGAACCCTGGAATTAACGCTGGTCTAGAATCCTATCATTTATCACCTTGTTTCTATGGAGATGTTTGGTCTGAGATCCATACAACTAACCTACAAATGAATTTAGGGAGCACTGGTTTGGGATTTGAATAACTGCTGTCACTGCCAGCTCTCTGCCTCCACACTAGCAGGAAGTAGGGTTACCTAAAGAAATGAAACCCAAAGATCAACCAAAGTTTAACTAAGTCCTTCACTCTTTTTCCCAAACAAACCTTTTTGTCCGGAGTGAGCAAATATTTTCTCCTTTCTCTTGCCATCTTCTGAATAAGCAAAGGCACCCTGCCATGATGGCGGGTGGGGGTGGGAGGAGACAGAGGGTCTGGGCAGCCTCCCTGGGAATGGGCGCCAGAGTACCTGAGGCTGGACTGTGTACTCAGAGGAAAAATAAAATCTCCTTTCCTATAGCCTCCATGTCTAGCAGTTTCAAATACAACATGCAGCTCACCAGTGCATACCTCAGATAAGTCACTTAACGTCTGTGAGCCTCCTTTTCATTTCTGTATATATTTTATATATTACAATATATATTATAAAACGAAAAGTAAGAAATTGGACTAAACTTTCTAATAATATAAGCCATACTCGTTTAATGCTTTGCTCTTGCGTAGACTCCACCATGGCTACTAAACAAGCTGCATTTATTTCCTGATAATTTGTTTTCCTGTTTTTGTTTATCAAAAAACCAAGAACCTCTTGCAAACCAGTGCTACCGTATCAAATTGCTACAATTATCTCCAAAAGCCAAAAACCATGATGTTTCGCTTCCTTTTTGTTTCCAGTGTATGGACAGTTTCTGTTGACCGTCTTGGAATACTGAAAGAGCACAAATTAGCAGGCGTCCCTCAGCCCACTGCCGTTGCCATGCCGGATCATCCGTTTACTACCCTAAGGTTCTGTGACTCACTAACTAAGGACGAGGGGGGTGGAGCGTGGGAGCAGGAGACGCGGAGCCCTCCCCCAGCTGGCACCACGCTCACCACCAACCCAGGAGGACCGCTTACCCAGTCCTAGTCTATTGTCTTTCTGCCCACGACCTCAGTCTTCATTAGTAAGCAACTCCGAGGGACCCCTGCCAGTAGTGGACACCTGACTTAAAGTCCCCTGCCCCCCTCTGCTTTTGTCTGCCCTGGAAGTGTGAGGGTGGCAGAAGATGAGACCTAGAGAGGAGAGCCGAGGCGGTGCCCAGGGCTGGAGGAGGAGAGAATGGCTTCAGAACGGCTGCTTACCCAGCCACACGGCCGAGGGTCCGGGGTTCAGGCCCAGCCCACGTCACAGTTGAGAAAGAATCCTGGGCTGGGGCGGATTCGGAGCGAGCAAGCAAAGCAGGCGTTCCGTATGAACTGCGCCCGCCCACAGCACGCAGGGCTCCCCACGCGCGACCGCTCATCGTGCCTTTCAGAAGCTAAAACACAGGCTTCCCTCCGTCTTTGTTCCCTTCCTTCGCTGCCGTCGGCAACTCTGTCATTTTCTAAAAACACCCTGGTGGGAGCATGTTAAGGCCAACTGTATCCCATTGCTCCAACAGCCCCAGAGCCTTGTACCTTTCCGTCTCAATAAAGGCTGAAAATGCTGCTTCCTCTCTGATTTCTAAAGCCCCCAGCATGTTTACGCGGTGCCAGGAGAGGGAGCTTAGCTCCGGCTGGCTGGCGGTTTGTGCTAATTGTCTGCCCACACTTTAGAAAGAGGCTTTTTGAATCTGAGCATTTAGGGAGAAAGTGGAGAAGCGTGGCTGAATGAAAGAGCTATTGATGTTAAATATTCATGCTCTGCTCTCTGTTAATCAAAATCGGTAACCCCCATTGCTCAGCTGCCGCCTTGCTAGCTTCTTACTAGGATTGTGCTAACAAAACTTGGATACAAAATACCGCCAACAGCGAGACACACACACACACACACACACACACACAAAATGTGGGTGCTTATAGTTTCGAAGTGTTTCCAGGTAACATTGTGCAAGTCAGCATTGTTATTTTTCCAGGACAGTTATCCTTCCGTCAGCATTGTAGAACCACTGCCTCCCGTTTTCCTTCTCTCGGGTAGAATCCAGCAAACTTGGTCCTTGCTTAAAAACTAGACATTTTTCTGAAAGAATTCTTAAAGCGAGTGCAACATAACCTAGTTAATTTTTCAGAAACGGTAAAGTTATTTTACAAAATAGAGAAGTTGACTACAACTGGACAGAATATGGTTGAACGAAATATCATTTTAGTCAACAACTTTGAAGTCATGTTTCCTGAGCTTTTATGAAATGAACATTTTATATTTTTATCTGTTTATTTTTAAAAGTGCATGTAAGACAACCACAGGAACTTTTAAAATAATCCCTTAATTAAAAAGGAAAAAGAAAAATAGCTCTTAAATAAAAACTTTTTGTCTTATTTTTGTAGCTGTATTTTTTCCAAGTTTTCTACAGAGAGTATGTTTTACCATGATAAGAAAAATAACAAAAGTTATATTTTTAAAAAACTGCTAAGCAGTTGCTGAATTGTAGGCTTTGAAATTCATCCGGCTCTCCCTTACCTAAGTCATCTGCAAGAGGAATGTTGGTGAATGTGCCGTCCTCCTCTTCCCCGTTGCTGGACCCATCCATCTTGTTCACTTTTCAGATCTGTTAGAAAAATGAGGGCAGGGAAAAACGACAACTGGCCCATGTGATCGCCCTTGTTAAATCATTAATAGATGAGCATCCAAGCAGGTGCTATCTGATCCTTGGACTAGCCACCTGCTTCCTGCTTTCCACCTGAGACGTTCTTACCTGAGTGTTGTGTTCTTAACCGGAAACAGTTAGAGACCTGAGTGAAAGAGTCATAACCCTTTACCTACAGCTGTTGAGCTGGCACTAATGCTATATCCTGGCTAGATGCCAAACCTTGCCTTCAAGGTGATGACAATTTTGGGGGGGCTGAATCTTCCAAGAACTTTGCCCAAAAAAGCACTGGGGTAGAGTTGGGGGGTAGAAATTGAATTTTATACGATTAGCATATCTTTTAGTCACCTACATTAAGCTTCTCAAGGATTTTGGCCAGTGACCTAGCCACATGACTTGTTTATAGAGCCTCAATTTCCTGTCCTATACGAGAATAGGTCTGTGGTGAGGATTAAAAGTGAATAACATGCACTTGATAAATGTCAACCGCAATACCGACCACAGGTGAGCAGCATATGTGAGGAAATAAGATCCTCTATCTATTGAGCTCATCACGGCCCTCTCACATTACTGTATATATTCCTTACGCTATGAAAGTTCACTAAATAACAGGATCTCCCCCTTTATTTCTGGAGGAGCCAAGGGGAGCGATGTTGGCCTTGCCAGCCTTTAGGGAAAGGGCTGTATTCTTTTACGGCTCTTTTTTCTTAGTCCCCTAGTCCACTTTCATATATAATAGACAAATCCAAAACTATTTGAGAATTTCATGTCGTCTTTTTGGGGGAAAAAAATCAGCCAAATTTGGTGAAGAATTTTAAGCAGATATTAAAATTGAGTTACTAAATGCTGTGTTCTGCCCTTAGTGTTTTGATACATAGGGTTTGTTTGTTTGTTTGTTTGTTTTTTATTCATTTGAGCTCACTGTTGCCATATTAAGCCATGTGATGTGAGCTGTTGGAAATCCTTAATGTTAAAAAATTCACCATAGAATTCCTCCTAATTGTTCAATTACATTCTACAAACTTTTGAGTGCCTAGTCTGCACAAGCTGGGGACTTTGGAGGGTTCAAAGTCAGAAGTAGTTACTGCTGTTAATAAGCTTATTAAAAAGCTCAAAGGCAAAAGTCCTGGAGGTGTATAGAAGGGAAAGAGTATATACCTGGCTGGCAGGTCTTGAAAGGCTTAGAGAAGGTGACATTTGAGCTGCATGATCAATGACAAACGGGATCCAATAGGCATAAGTGGCCGAGTGGGAAGCGCTTTCTCAGCGCGGGGGCGTGGGCAGAGGCTCAGAGTTGGCAAAGCATTAGGCACATTTGGGAACTAAGAGTGGAAGATAGATGTCAATGAGGTAGGAAATAAGGTAGAATATAGGCTAAGGCCATATCTGAGAGAGCTTTGAATGACAGACTGTGTTATTCCAAGTCCTCTGAATCAGGCACTCCGATGGGTTTAGAAGGCTGGGCGAAAACAGGAGGGAGCCAGGAAAGACTGGGAGAGCCATCAGACCATGATGCAAGGCTGACCCAGAGCAAAGACACAGCAGGCTGGAAGGCTAGCTTGTCCTTCAGACTGAGGACATTTTGGCAAGGTTGTCAAAGAGTACTCAAGCAAACAATGACCACAGAGGAGTCCTGCGCCTCCCAGGAGTGGCCTCCCTTAGATTTCGGCAACACTTAGCTACTGGCTGGGAGCTGCTGGTGGGAAGTGAGGCGTCTGCACATGGGATGATGGATTTCAGAGCACAGCAGCTGGGGCCCTTGATCAGTTACACTCCCTGTAGTTGAAGGTCTACAATGCACATGATCACGGCCACCATATGAGCTACTTTTTTTAGCAACTCTATTTATAATCATGGAAGCATCGAAGTACCTCTCTTGCCTAATCCATCCTCTGTCAGTCCTAGCAATAACAGCACACACGTAAGAAGTGGTAGGCAGCAACAACCCCATGAGGTGGGCACTGATATTCTCATGCAGAATATAAGGGAGCTGAGGCATAGAGAGAGACTGAGGAAAAGATAAGCAGCTAAGTAAGTGGTAGAGCTGACAAAGGGATTGGAATCCAGGCCCTCTAGCACCAGGGTCTGTGCCCTTAACCATTACATTAGCTACTCATAATAAAATTAGTGGGTAATGGAGGGGATGGAAGAGAAGAATTAATCAACCTGGAAAAAGAATTTAGAAACCAAAGGGTGCCTTTGGTTTAAATTGTGTGCTTCCGTTTTATTTTATTTATTGTGGCCAATGGTACTTTTTGTTAGGATTAGCCTAGGCACTTGATTCTCTGCCTTCTGCTTACCTTCATGGACATTTCTCATGAAGTGGCTGTCCCGATGGATAGAGGGATGAAAAGCGATCAAACTCAAGTCAGACAGCATTGCTACCATCCCCAGAGTCTTTGGGCAAATGTTACAATGGACGAAGATGTTCACTTTTCACTGGAGTGGAGAATTATCTGTGGATTTGAATTATCCATGGTGAATATTTACCCCTATGTTTTCTTCTAATAGTTTTATTGGTTTAGCTCTTGTATTTAGGTTGCTGATTCATTTTGAGTTAATTTTTGTATATGGAGTGAGGTAGGGCTCCAGCTCCATTCTTTTGCATTTGGATATCCAGTTGCCCCAACACCATTTGTTGAAGAGAAAATTATTTTTCTCATTGAATGGTCCTGGCATCCTTGTCAAAAATCATAGATGCTGGGTTTATTTGTGGAATCAGTTCTATTCCATTGGTCTATATGTCTGTCCTTACGTCATGTCTGTCCTTATGTCAGTCTCACACTGTTTGGATTACTATAGCTTTGTGGTAAGTTTTGAAATCGGGAAGTGTGAATAATCCATCCAACTTTGTTTGTCTTTTTTAAATAATGTTTTGACTATTTGGAGTCCCTTGCAATTCCATATGAATTTGAGGATTGGCATAAATTTGGCAATGGATTCTTATATTTGACAACAAAAGCATGAATAACAAAAGAAAAAAATAGATAAATTGGACTTCATAAAACTTAAAACCATTTGCTCATCAAAGGACTATTGTCAAAAATGAGAAAGGGCAATATACAGAATGGGAGAAAATGTTTATGAACCACATGTCTGATAAGAATCTATAAAGAACTCTTACAATTCAACAACAAAAAGGCAACCCAATTCTTTAAATGGGCAGAAAATGTAAACACATTTCTACAAAGAGGATATACAAGTGGCCAATAATCACATGAAAAAACATTCAGTATCACTGGTCATTAAGAAAATGCAAATCAAAATTACACTGAGATACCACTATGATGGCTTCAAAAACAACAACAAAAATGTAAAACCAGGTTTGGCAAAGATGTGGAGAAATAAGATGTCCATTGGTGGTGGAGCATACAATGATGCAGCCACTGTGGAAAACATTTTGGCAGTTCCTCAAAAATTAAACATAAAGTTACTATATGACCCAGCAATTCCACTTCTAGGTATATACCCAAGAGAAATGAAAACCTATGCCCACACAGAAGCTTGTTTATGAATGTTTATAGCAGCATTATTCATAGCAGCCAAAAGGTGGAAACAACCCAGATACATTAAGTATAAATGGATAAACAAATTGTTTAATAAAAATAGAAATATAATGGGATATTGTTCACCAATAAACAGGAACAAAGTACTGATACATGCTACAACTTAGATGAAGCTTGAAAACTTTCTTAAAAGAAACTAGACACAAAAAGTCACATTTTATATGATAAATCCAAAATAGGCAGTTGCAAAGAGGCAGAAAACGGGGTGGGGGAAGGAGGGGGTGTGGAGTGATTACTAAACGGGTTTGGAGTGTTTTTCTGGGATGGTGAACAGTTTTAAACTAGAGAGAGGTGGTGGTTTAACCACATGAGGAATACACTAAATGCCACTGATTTGTATACTTTATAA